AATCCCACTGGCGATAGGCAATGTCCAGGTTTCAGTTTTGCCTTCAGCTTCGCATTGACCTTGACCTTTTGTCTCTTGCCAGTGCCAGCATCTGGAAGCGAAGCCGTCAAGCATTCATCGTCATCAGGAACCATGTGGCTGTAGCACGGGACATAGTCCACGAACACACTGCTGTCCTGGCTCGTGGTTGTGGCGCCAATGAAAAACCGCTTGCAACACTGCCATCCCGCATGATGCAGCATATTCACTCATTAAAAATGAAAAATGCAAACTGTGCAAGTTTTACTTGCAACCATGACCACATGTAGCCAAGTCCGATCCCCAGTGCAACATCTGGAACCCTGCTTCCTTGCACAAGTAGTCAACGTACTTCTGGAACAGCTTGTCTCCATATATCTTTTTCACCACTGGCTTCTGTTTGTCATCCATCCCACCTCAAGAAATTAAACAAATGTGAAAGCGAGAAGCTAAAGCCAAGTGTGCTAGCACATGAGTGGGAGAGACAACCTTCAATGCAGAAGGCAATTCAGGATCTAATCATAGCCTGTGGATCAACAAAACAGTACAGGTCCCTTGAATCACAGCTTGTGAAGACTGCTGGTGGCATAGAAAGGCTGGGCCGCCATGCTCAGAACAAGTTCCATCTCATAAGCGACGTTTTCTCTGATCTTCGCAAGACCCTGCCTGAGAAAAACTTGGCACCGATGACTTGATGATGCAGACACTAACAACTTTCGGTCTATTCTCATTGGTTGCAGTCTGGAACATGTTATACAAGACTGTAGCAAGATCTGGCCCAGCCTGGCTTTTGGAGTGATGCGATCCATAAGGCTGCCTGGGACACATTGAGGTCGACAATCCTGGCGTCTTGAAAACAAGATACCCAAGTCAAGTCGACCCAAGTTTCAGAGCATCAGATGTGCGATTGTCTTCCTCAAAGCCCTTTCAACAGTTCTGAAGTTCAACCCCACCACATTTGGACATGTTGACTGGCTTGACGCCTTGACGGCTTGACCCTTGCTCTGGCCTCTGGCAAGCTCTTCAAAACGCTTCTGGCAATTGGATCAATATCGCAGCTTGTGGCTGTCACCACTTTGCCAAAAGTCGGTATGGACAGCCCACCTTAGGACAAAACAAAGTGCAAAGCCGAGCGCGCTGGACTTCAAGAGTACTGGCCTGATGGACTCTGCCTTTTTGGTTTGAAAGTTAAAAACCATAAGCTATAAGTCTATAAGCCAACAACTATCTCACATTGCTTATGGAACCCCCCTGGCCCTCGCCCCTTATTTGTCTCACAACGAATCACTGGAGTGACTGGGTTGCATCCTGATGTTGAAACAAGACACATGAGACTGCATGCTTCCGGCACTCCATCCGCAGTGCGTCAAGTTGGCGGTGAAGGGTCACGGCGCCATTGCCGGTTCCAGCATAGCATTCGTGTATTTCGATATCTAAGGATAAAAGGTACAGGAGCCTCTCCACGCGTTCCTTCATGAGGTTCATCGAAGATACATCAAGAAGTCGGGCTGAATTCCACTCTGGCCACAAAAACAACCCATGCAGGGTGTCTGGCCCATTTGGCCAAGATTCAGCTGCAGCCAACTGGCGAATTTTGATGTGGAGTTCCCTGGAAACCTCGTCTGCTTTGCTGTCTGCATCTGCACTTCCCTCTTGCCCAGCCTGGTCTATGTCTGTTTGTTGCCTGGTTGTCGCAGTCATTGATTGCTTTTCCTCCATGCACCTGCCATCACTGACGCCGATGCCTTGTTGAACCTGGGCCAAGGCATCCTCTGATTCTACATGGCCTTCAGGTTCAGAAGTTTGGCTGGGATCATCAGACGACAAAGTATCATCTGAGTCAGAGCCTGCAGAATCTGCTTCCAGACCTTTTTGATCAGCAACAGAAGACGAAGGCTGCCGCCTTTTCCCCATGGCATGGTAAGCGGTAAGATGAAGCAAAAACTGGAGGCTCTGTTCAACTGTTCTTGGAACTATCGCATGAAATCACAAGTGCATGAGTGCTGCAGTTCTGCAATCTTGTCTCTAGCGAGAAAAATGGTTTCTTTTTCACACACAACTCACGCAACGTGAATTTGTTTGAAATCCAAATCATACAGGTGAAATTAGACTTGGACATAAATTATGACTTTAGTTGCAACCCTGCACCCCTACAGGGCCCTACAGGGACTGGCAAAATGCCAACTACGGCGAGGCGCGAGCATCAAATGTCAAATGGAAATTTGGGAATTAATAAATAGCATATTCCTGCAAAGAAAGTGTTCACGGTCATCGTCACACACAGTGAATGGCAATGGCACCATTGGATTAGTGGATTGAATTGCAATCAATTGGTCGTTGCCTTTGCCAACGAACTGTAGAATTGAAGCAAAAGAAGAAGTGGCCTGCAGTTTGCAGTGCGGCAAAGATCCCAGGGCTTGAAGCGAAAGTCCAGACCCTTTCCGCCTGGCAATCAATGGCTACTCAAGCTTATCAGTGGTTTCAAGAGTTTCAAGTTTCAATCCTAGAAATTCTCAGTTTGTTCACTTGTACAAGAACTGTGTGTCTGACAGCTGACACTCTGACCTTTTTCCTGACTTGAACGCATTTGATGAGCTGCAGCAACCCAGCCTGGCCTGGCCGCATCAAGTTTATACCTCCACCGAATCACTGAATCATTGTTTGTGTGTGTCAAAAATTTGGCTGACTAGCTGACCACATGTTCACTGAAAATTGCATGAGTCAAAAAGGATTCGAATCCAAACAGACTCATTTTTTCAATTGCCCTTGATTCGATGTCTCGCTGGCAGTCTGAGGAGGGAAACTGCATGCAGCAATCGTCCAGAATTCTATTGCACCCGGCCATCACTGGCCCTTTCAAAACAGTGGGGGTCCTGTAAAGTGCGCAGTGGCTGCATTAAGTCATACTGCTTGCAGCACCAACCTACATTCCCTCGGCCCTCTGCTATCTGCCAAAAAAATAGACCCTGACTCTGACTGCCAAGTACTGCCAAGTACTGCCAAGTGCCAAATGCGTGTTGGAGTTGGAACTTGGAACTTGGAACACATATTTTTCTCAACATGGCAAACGCTTCTAAGGTTCAGAAGTTCAGGGTCTATGTTAGATGAAGAAACTTCGCCAACGTTTTTCATAGGATTCATTGCCCTGCAGGCCCTGGCCCTGGCCGATCACCTTTTCCAACATGACGACACCATGTTGCGGGTTTCAATGCATAAAGTGCTTCTTTAATGCCAGGTGATCCTGGCAATCAACCAGTCATATTGATCATTCATCCCACTGATCTTACTGCTGCTTCTTTTGTTGGCTCGGCTCGGCCCAGCTGTAAAAGGAAATTGCCACCCGTGTGACATGGACTGAGAGAACTGCGACACTGGCCAATGGCACGAAATGTTTTTCCAACTTCATGATGATGCATGTGCAAAATATTTGCCAGTGGGAAAAAGAAAACTAGTGGCGCAATGATGAAGTTCAACAGTTCAACCTTCCAGCCAGCCTCATGCATTCAAAAGTTGACCGCCCGGCCGCCCCAAGTCACTTAGCTGTTGGTCTTGGCATTGGTGACCCCTTTATCTTGGGAGTGGCGCCTTCCATGGCCAAGAAGGTGTCAACAAACCAAGCAAAAGTTCAGTGTGCTGGTTGCACTCATCGGCTCGCAGCTTGGAACTCTGTCAACCTACAGACCTACAGACTACAGACCTATATAGTTTAGCTTATCCAGTCCAGGGCTTGTCAGAACTCGGGACTCTGTCTGCAATATCTTGCCTGACAGTGCTGCATTCTTTGACATCGGCAGCTGCTGTGGCTGCTGCTGCTGTGCTGACCAAAACGCAGACAAAACCTGCTGGTCAGCTTCAATCTCTTGCTCCTGTTGAAAGGGATGGGATGACAAAGAACAAAGAATGTCTTGGAAAACAGCTGAATGTACAGGTGAGGCCAATGCAACAGACTAAGATCTGGCAGCCCAGCGGGTCACTCACTCCTTCTTCTTTTTCGCTTTTGGAGGTACAGTCGGAGGCCCCATAGATGGGTGGAGGGAAGGTGAAGCTTTGCTTCGCCACATCCATTCTCTTTTGGCAGAAGCCTCTTCTGCGTCGTCCTTCGGTTGCTGCACTGGCTGCACTGGGATCACAAGTGACATGTAGGGAAAACATCTTGGCAGCACCAATCCACACAAGACATGTCAGTAAATCAACCATCCTGGAAAGTGTAACCCTGTGATGCAACTTTGTCATATTCAACCTTCTTTGCTGACTCTTAACCATGGCTGTCATGGCCGGAAGAAAAGGGGCCAATAAATTTTGAGTCGTGAGTCGTGAGTTGTGTGAGTCGTGATTCATGATTCGTGATTTGAAAAACGTCCAATGCAAATATAGAGCAAGATGATGGACAGAAGCAGCAACCACCACAATTTCAATTTACGGCTCGGCTTGCTGTCCTCTGAAGCCGGTTGCTGCGCATCGTCTGTTTTCTTTTCTGAAGCTGGGACTGGGACACCAAGCGCAGCCTAGGCAGTCTACCCAGTTTAGCGTATCCAAAATGAAAATGGATTGCAATTAAACTCGTTTCATACATTGTCACAATCCCAATCATTGCCCCCTTGAAGTGGCCAAAAATGTAAACCCCTTAATTTCTGGCGCAAAACAGGTCCATAATCCTCATGGCATCAGTCAGTCTGAAGTGAACTGTTTGGTCCTGCCTTGTCATCAGCTGGTTTGGTCACTTGCTGCTGCTGCTTGCGCATCATCTTCCTTGCCATCTTGAATTTCAATAACAGCAGTGAAAAGGAGCTAAGAAAAAAATAACTGGATTGTAAAGTGGAAACTGATTTGGTTGGCTGTATCATCTATCTGGAAATATATGTCAATGTCAATGTCAAGCCTGAAAAATGAATCTGACTGGGAAATGGAAAACTAGCTGCAAATCATCTCATTGACATTGTGATCATTGACCATTGCACAAGCCAATTGCATGCGCGTCCTTGTCATTGCCCTTGTTCTCCAAATGCCAAATGCGAGCGGCCCGGATGAGCGCCCTCCTTCTTTTCACCCTCTTCCTTTTCCATCTTCTTCGGATTGACTGGCGCTGAGGACTCAGCAGGCTCGGGCTCCTTTGGGGCAACATCACGCTGTACTTCCATAGCCGGTCCAGCCTCGAGTTCTGAAGAAACTGGCCGTTGAGACTGCACACCAGTGGCCTCATCTGCAATCGTTGCTTCTGAATCTGAACCTTTGCATGTTTCCTTCTCAAGGGAAGCTGCGGCCGAAGGTGAGGTCAGTGAGGCGTCAGCCTGAACCTCAACCGTACTTGCCTCCTTTGGCGCATCTGGTTGTGCAAGAACTGTGGCTTCGGGATCATGTGCAACGTTTGATTTCTCCTTTGGCTCAATCGACCCCTTCATCTCCTCAACATTGGCTGCTTCTGAAACTTCAGGGCCTGAAGTGCCTGAAGGGGCCCCTGCCTTTTCCAAAGCAGCTTCAGCATCCGTGGAATTCTTGCCATCCTTGGCAACTTCTGACTTCTCAATCGACTCCTTTGGCTCTGCTTCTGAAACTTCAGGGCCTGAAGGGGCCCCTGCCTTTTCCAAAGCAGCTTCAGCATCCGTGCAATTCTTGCCATCCTTGGCAACTTCTGACTTCTCGATGGACTCCTTTGGCTCAATCGACCCAACTTCAGGGCCTGAAGTGCCTGAAGGGGCCCCTGCCTTTTCCAAAGCAGATTCAGCATCCTTGCCATCCATGGCGTCCAGCGAATCATAAGCAAGCCACATCACAAAAAAACGAAGCTCGTCACCAGCAGTCTCTTCTGCAGAGCCAAAGCAACGAATCCAGTCGGGGGGTACATCTTCACGCTGGTGCGTCTGTTTCATGAACGAAATGAGCTGAGAATGCTTCTTGGCTTGCTCGATCAATGCCGTCAGTTCCTCGAAGTCAAGTGCCTCCAGAGTTTTCCCCACGCATCGATCCACATAGTACTTGTACAAACCAGCCTTGTACAAAGCATACTGGACAACATTCTCCAAGGTGACCAAGCCTTTGCCTCTCAAGAGAACAACTTTCACGGTGGGCCTAACTTCCTTCACTTCCTCATTGTCCGAAAGAAAGGATGGCGACCCTGACACCGCCTCCTGATCTCTTTCCTGCAGAAAGTGTTCCACCTCTTCCTCCAAGGCTTCAACAAAACTTTTCTCTACTTCTTGAACTTCATCATCCTCTCCCTTCACTGCAGTGGATGGGTCCTGCGTGGAAGCAGCTTTCTCCGTTTTCACTCGCTTTGCTGCATGGGCTGCGTCATCCTGGGATTGGGACTCCCGCTTCTTGCCATCTTCTTCAGCTGCATCATCAACCTCTTCTGAATCTGAAAAAGAAGGCACAAACTTCTGTTCCAGGGGAGCGAATTGAAGTTCTTGGCGATCCCCTGACGCCATCATGCCTTTGAGAATCTGCTGCCAACCCGTCTGAATGGACATCCTGGGCGTCGTACCCAAAACAAGGCTGCTTCAAAATCAATAGTTACAGTACTGTATACTGACTGTCAGTACTGTCTCTTGGTGGCCTCATGGACTCGTGGTGACGGTGATGGCATGGAAATCCAAACGCTAGGTCCGAGTCTAGAGTTCCTAGAATCTAAAAGACGAACCTTCACATCACTGACATCACTGCATCATTTTTTTTTCGCTAAACCTTACCAATAAAAAGACCAAGTCTCACAGGGACAAACTGGTCGATGAGATCCAGCTCATTTGCTTCATGCCCAAAGACCAGCATGGATGGAAAACGGAAAGAGACGGTATCAGCGTTCATGCACTTCTCAATCAAGCAATAGGCATTCGGTATATACCTGGATTTCAGGAGGCTATTTCAGAAGGCAGGCAAGTACTGCACTGAAAATGAATTGTCAATGTCACTGGACCTGATCTGACACGACAATTGAATTTCACAAGGATTTCCCAACAGCTCGCACCGCGCAAACGTTTACAATTGTATCCAAGAAACACAATGTCCCCTGGGAGTAGGTACATGTACTTCAAGCTTGGCAAGCCACCTTCCAGCTTGCAAACCTGAGAAAGGAACAATTCAGTCACCAACAACTCATCAGTACATCAGTACATCTCATCAAAAAAAACCTGCATAACTGATTCTGCCAGTTCCAGTCAATACTCCAGGAAATAATGGTTTTGAAGTTGAAGTCTTGGAGTCAACTTGAAATGAAACTGTGAAACCAGAAAAATCCAGATACCAGCTACCAGCCTTACCAGCCCTTACCAGCAAAGGCAAGGCACAACTTCTGGCGTGAGGTTGTTGAACCACTCCCAAACGGCTTTCAATTTCCCACTCGCATCCAGATCCTGATCAACCTCCATTTCGGCCTCACCCTGGCCACCACTATCTGCCGACTTCTTTTGCTCCTTTTCCCACACCTGCCCAACGTTGAGTCAGTTTTCAATCAATCCAATGATGCGCAGAGCCAACCAATGCTGAATGACAATGCCAAGTAGTAAGTAGTAATCATAAGTGCTAAGCGTGGATTAGATTCAATGATCTAATGGCAAAAGGCCAAAAAGCTAAAAGCAACTAGCCAAGAGCACGACAAACCCAGCTGATAAGTTAGCTATGGCTATAGCAGCTCAAAATTGCCAAATCGCCTGCAGCAACTCCGCGAATGATGCCATACTGACACATTTGTTGCCTTCTTGCTGGTAGTGAAACCCGGCTAAGCCAGTTGGCAGAAAACCGTGCCAAGTCATGCCCTTGCTGAAGGCGCTCCATGTCACACCCTTCAGCTGCAACTTCATCGCGTTGAGGTGCTTCTCACAGGAACCAGACCCAGAACCATGCTCAGACCTCCAGCACGCAAACGCACGCAATGGATTCAACGGGGTTTGAGTTTGAATCCATGGAATTGCTGGATGTCCGGATGGGACGGTGGATGGCATGATGAATGCTGTGAGGCAACTGGGTTCTGAAGGTTTTCATATTGTGCAGGGCAGGGTGATTGCAATCATTTATTGCGCAATCAGCTATCATCTACCATACCAGAAAAAATAATCAGTGGCTTCTGAGTTCCTCAACAGCAAAAGAAATTCTCGATTCTGATCAGATCTGTTGCTTTTTGCAGCCAAGAGTCTGCAGCTTCTGCAAATGCTTCAAGAGAAGCCCTCTATCCATGAGCCACGGCTCTTGCGTGCCCTTTGCAAGAAACACATCTGGAAGAGCGAGAGCAGAATTCAGGATCACGTCAAAGCCGAGCAAGCTGGGCGTTGTATCATCTTGCGCTATTGTCGAGTTCTTTCTGATCTGCTCTGAAAACTTTTTCACCTGAGATTTCATCTCTGCCTGTTTGATCGCATAAGATTTGGACATGCCGTTGATGAACGTCACTGTAGCTGAATCTTCCGCAACTGCTTTTTTCAGTGAGAAACTCAAGACCTTCTTCACTGATCCCTTTTTGCATCGCAGGATGGCGGGTTCATTGGCAAGGACCTTTCTGACAAAGTCTCGTATCTTCACGGTAGGCTCAGGCTTGAAGCTGGCTGCAAATGCTGGACCATTGGCAATGACAGGGGGATCTGAAGGTGCGAACTGTCCTCGCGTTCTGGGAACTTTTGCTTTGGCCCTTTTTCTGCCCTCAGCCTCTGCACCTTCTGCTTCCTGCTCAGCGTCCTCTTCGCTCTGGATGCCTTCTTCATCCGCCTTCTTCCCATGGCCACGGCCTCTGCCTCTACCGCCCTTTGGTTTTTGTTGTTTGCTTTCAGCCGCTTTTCGTTTCTTCTCCTCACTGACCTGCTGGGCTTTCAACTTCTTTTTCTCTCTGCCTTTTTCCCTTGCAACAAATTGGTTTGCTGCTGAGAGTTGTCACGGGTACGAGTTGAAATCCTAAACAAAGAATGCCTCTAATAAGGCTTGTAGGGATGAGAGGCATCATGAATATGAACAATACGGAGTCTAGATTCTGGGGTACTGGTCTCACCGTGCAGAGTCAAGAGTCGAGCCAAGGGTCTTGACAATGTGACATAGTTCACAAAGGTAACATAAACAGTAAACATGTGACGCTGGCAGCCCCCTGGCTGTCAACACAAAAGAAACATCAAGATGCTCAATCAAAAATCCAGCAAGCCTGTCTTCAATTTTTTTCAACCGCTCTTCTTCTGCTTTCTTATTTTTGTTTTCATCTTCAATCAGTTTGGCCAGGGCTTTGGAAGCAGAATCCTGCACAAATGCTGACTTGACTTTTAACTCAGCAGTCATCATCAACATGCAAATGACAGTGAAAAAATGGTTGTTAAAGTTAAAGGGCAGAATCTAGAAATGAAAAAAGCATTGATTCCGGTGAGCATTGAAAGCCGAGGCGCCCATTGATTGCACGCGGCCAAACAGGCTGCTGCAAGTTCCTTCAGCACGCCCAATGCAACAGTAGCATTGTCAACGTGGGTTTGCAGTTGGTCCAAAGAACCAGAGATTGGCCACATTACCTGGGAGGTGCAACATCAACTTGAAGAAGAGCACACACTGCATTCACTGCATCCACATCAAGCCAGTTTGGCTGGTTTGAATGCAACAAAAGGAATGGTTCAGAATGGCACACAAAGAATTTTGTGCAGCAAACAAGCCCGGGGACATTTCTGCTCCACTCAATGAAGCCATATGTGCAGCACTGATCAATCCTATCCTCAACTTCCGTCTTCAGGTAGGGATCGAAGGCCAAGCATGTCTGGAACTCTCTGTTCTTTTCCTTCCATGTGCCCAGGTTCATGTGCCTAGGCCACAAATCTGCTGCAACTATCTGCCCAATTGCAAACTGATTGCCCTCCCAGGCCCCAATCCCAGCTTGGACTGAACCGCATTCATTATCTTGAGCGAGTTGGGGAATGAGATTCCACGAGAAAATAGATCATAACATCATGGCAGTCATCATTCATGATAGACTTATCATAAGAAAGATCTACACGTCAAGTTCGTCAAGTGTCTTTTCCAGGCGGTCTCCACTGCTGTTTCAGAAACATTAGTTACTTGTTACATAGCAACAGATCCAAAGCCAAGGAACCAAACTCATTCAATTCTCACATCTTCCAACTTCCACACGTCCAGGAGTCCAGGCTTCCAGTTCCATATTCAAAAGTCTCAAATTCACAGGTCCACTACTAGCAACCAAACCAAGGCACTCTGGACTGGTGTTGGGCTGAAAACCGGCTGCCAAAAGGTGCTTGCGCCTGAAAAGCAATTTCTCCTCCTCACTCATTTCGGAATCATCTTTGTGCCCAACTTTCTCGCAAGCACTCTGAATGGCAGATGCTGCCTTTGTCAAGGAGCTCTTCACTGCAACCATTTCCTGGCTGCGGGCTGCAATTCAAAGTTGTAAGTTTTATTCCAAGCAAACAGAAAACCGTTGACCCAAACATACCGTTCCTCCTAAACGTGTTCTTGCGTCGCCAACATAACAAGGGGGCCCTAAACGTTTGCGTTCAAACGTAGAACTTGCGCCATAACAAAAACAGGGGCCCTACAAATTTGCGCCAAACGTAAATAAATACAAGCAACCTCCGAAAACGAAATACGACAATCAACAGAAACAAACCGCACATGTGCAACTGAAAAAAAGTAACATGGCACTCACTCTTTTTCTAGCACAGTGGAGATATCACTAAGGCCTCGTTAAGGGGCCTAAACACCTACACTTTACGCTGTGTTGGGAGAGTGGCGGAGGTCTCAAGAAATCATGCCCCTAAACGTTCGCCAGAAAAAAACCACGTGAATGCGAAACCATCGAAAGTCGCCAAAACGAAAACCAAATGAAATGAAACTGCAAACTGTGACATCAACTGGAATGAAACTGAAGACAGCAAATAAAGAATTCAACTGACAACTGAAACTGTGCGGCCATTCTTCTTTTAACACCAAGGTGGTATGGTCTTGCGCTGTTCCAGCTGAGGTCCAAAAGCCACCTGCATTGTAAATCATCCATTTCCAAAGCCAGCATTGAAAGGTCCGGAAAGCACAAGGTCTTGCAACCATAAGTGCCAGAAAGCCAGCTGGAGTATGTAAGCATTGAAACTGACATGTACAATTCCCCCTGGACGCAAGCAGGAAGTCACCACACCACCACAAAGAAAAGCGGTGGGATGGGTGGGACTTTTCAAATCATCCTCTTCCAAGCCAGTGCTCAAATGAATATTCCATGAGGAAAGTTCCAACTGAAAGTGCGCAACGTTGAAATAGAAAACATGTAAAGCTGAATGTGACAAACGACGATCTGAAAGCAGTGTCGAACATGGAAGCAACTGAAGTGAATCATCTTGAAATGCCATACATCTGAAATTGCACAAGACAGCGAAAATTGACATCACTGAAATTGAAAGCAGCGAAATTTCTGAAATCATCTGAACAAATGGAAGCAAGCCAACTGAAACGTCCTGTTCTGCAAATGCATCACTGAAAATAAAACGACAGCAAGAATCAACTTCGAGTGATCTCTCCACAAAGGCAAAGAGCCCCAAACAGAAGGTCAGGAGGACCAGGGCAAAGAAGCAACGCCCAAAAGGGGCCAGGGCCACCAACAACCCCACCAACCACCCGACCAACACAGGGTTCCGTATAGACACATTGGGCAAGCCCAATGATGCCTACACTTTACGCTGTGTTGGGAGAGTGGCGGAGGTCTCAAGAAATCATGCCCCTAAACGTTCGCCAGAAAAAAACCACGTGAATGCGAAACCATCGAAAGTCGCCAAAACGAAAACCAAATGAAATGAAACTGCAAACTGTGACATCAACTGGAATGAAACTGAAGACAGCAAATAAAGAATTCAACTGACAACTGAAACTGTGCGGCCATTCTTCTTTTAACACCAAGGTGGTATGGTCTTGCGCTGTTCCAGCTGAGGTCCAAAAGCCACCTGCATTGTAAATCATCCATTTCCAAAGCCAGCATTGAAAGGTCCGGAAAGCACAAGGTCTTGCAACCATAAGTGCCAGAAAGCCAGCTGGAGTATGTAAGCATTGAAACTGACATGTACAATTCCCCCACCTTCAGAAATGTCATGTTGAAATGTCCGGATCAGGCAGTAAAATGTTCACCACGGGGATTTGTCAAACTTCTTACTCTTGGACGCAGGATCCTTCAATCGATCGGCCTTGGCGGCCTTCTTCGCATCTTCAAACTCTGAATGCACTGCAACCAATGCATGAAGGATCGTCAAGTCCAAGTCTTTCAGTTTTACTGCTACCCTCAAAGCAGGGTCAAAACCTTCAAAGACCTCATTGGTGAGATCGTCCGCCTCAGTGTTTTCCTCCCTGGGTCTCCAGCTAAGGTTGAGGGTGGTCCGTGACCTGGCTAACGCTGAGGACATCTGCATGTTTATAGCCATCAACGGCCACTTTGTTGTTGAACGCTTCAACGTCAGAGCTTCATTGGCTCTGTTGTCTGTGCCCCCCAAAAGGGAGACCTGCAATGCCTTCCGTCGCCTCCCATCAGCAATCCACCCAAACGTATGAAGGGCTGCCAGTGAAGCCAGTAGTTCAGCAGAGGTTGAGGCCCACTGTGATTGGCCCCCTTCCTTAAATAAATACGGAGCATCCTCCGGACCAACCCGCAATGAAAACCATCTCCTTGTACCAAGCTCCCAACCGGCCAAAACCACATATCCATCAGCACACTTAGCGTCTGTACGGAATTGATCGCCCTTGAACTTCAAGGGCTTCCCAGTGTGCACCATGTAACTTTCAAGACGGAGTTCCAACAGGATGTACTTGAGGGTAATGATAACCGTCTCAGGAAGGCGGCCCACCGTGCTCCGTGAAGTAACGGCAGACCATGCAAACAGTGGGGCCAAATGTGGTTTCAACCAAGTCAGCAGTTGGGCAACAAAGCTCAACCTGCCCAGAAATTCACCGAACTCCCGTGATGAAACAACGTACTTCTGCTCCGCCAACTTCTCAATCCAAGCAACCAACCAGTCTCCCCTTTTGTTTGAAATACCAACCTCGGCCTTGTCGTACCTTATATGAAACCCCACAAACTCTGAACAGAATCCACCCTTGAACTTGTGGTATCCAAACGGTGTCCCAACCATCTCAAAAGCCAGGAGCCAGACCCAAAGAAAATGAAACTTGTTGTGGCCGACGAATGTGCCGTGAAGATCATCCACGTATATCATCTGCATCATCCAACGCGTATGGAAGAGATAGCCAACAAACCGACCCAACATAGCAGCAAGCTTGGCCCACCAATATGGTGCGCTTGAAACACCGAATGTCCCCGTCTGATTTACCCAAACTGTATCTGAAGATGAATTGGAACGGCAGCACATGTAGCCCCAGTCAGAGCGCCGCACTTTCACCAGCCGATGTGCAGCTTTGATATCTGCACTCACGCAGAAGCAAGCCTCCCCAGAGTTGGCCGTCTCCTGGACAATGGCCGCAATCTCAGGAGGTCCAGGGCACAAGATCTTGTCCTGATACTTGATCTCATGGTTCACCATAACAGAATGGGTGGCATCGTGCAAGGGCCTCACTGACCCATCAGGTTTGCTGATGGCTGCCATGGATGCGATGCGGAGCCTGTCACCATACTCCTGCTTCAAAACCCCCAACTTGGAGGGATGCATCCTGCCAAGCTGCTCCTCCTCACGGAACTTCTTCTCAAGCTCTTCCGACGACAATTGGGCCGACGGGTAATTGTCTGCAATGGCCGCAAACTCAGTCTCGTCAAGTTTCCTGTGTTTGGTCTTTAATGGAAAGACCTGAGGTGACCTCGGAAGCGGTTTATCCACTCCAATGCAAACGCCGCTTGCAAAAGAATCGGCTTCGTCCACCAACCAATGTGCATCGGGATCACCAAACTTCTTCAACCACTGGGAAAGAGCCCTAAGAAAGAAAGGCTGACCCTCATCAACGACCTTTGCATCTGTAGGGTCTGGTAGAAGGTTTGCCCAGCCATCTCGAAGATCACTAAGGGCTTGTTCATTGAAAGGAGACTCAGTGATCTTGCCTGTCACTAATTTGAAGGCCTCTTTCCTGACATCGCCAATGCACTTGTTAACGCAATCCAAAAGCAAATTAAAAGTGGACCCCGCCAACTCCACCATTTCAGGAGTCCTCCTCTCACCGCGCTGCTGTGGCCTCCAACGTGTCGGGCTGCACAACCCAAAGCCGTCAATGAACCCGCGGGAGGTCTGGTCCCACTCCACTTGTATGGGCATGCCTGCATTGCAACATGCCTTCACATCAAACTGTTCAGACAGGTCTTCAACCCCGTCGCATGTGCCCCCCCCGCAAGTTGTAACTGTATTGCACTGCTGTTGTTCCAAGGTCCTGCCTTCAAAACTGCAACCAACCGTATTGCACTGCTGTTGTTCCAAGGTACTACCTCCACCAGAGTCAGAAATTGAGTGGCCCTCCAAGTCAATCACAGGTGTTCCAGAAGAGGAAGGTGGCACAGGACCGGGAGAATGAGAAGTAGGGGACTCCCCCACACGTCGCCTTTTGTCTGTCAAATGCACTGCACTTGAACTTCTCTTCTGGCCTTTCCGCTGGGCTATTCCAGATTTATTCGCACCCAAGCCCCTACCGCAGGATGCGACTGCATTGAGAATCAATCTGGCCAAAAATTCGCACATACCAGGAGGGTAAGCGGCGCTAGGGCTTGTATTCCATCGTGAACCAGTTTTGCCAATAAGCTTGTGGGTATGGTTGTGACCGCACTTACGAGGCAAAGGACCCTTATAAAACCCATACTTGTCGAACTTCGGCAAGGACATGAAACACCTGTCATCCTGAACGTCCATGTTTGTCAGCAGCCTCGTAGGCTTCGGTGTCAATGCTCCAAATTTGCATTGGTGAATGGCAAAACAGTTAGCAGAAAATTTGGGGATAAGATCGAGAACTTCTCGCCATTGCCAAATGGACCCCGGTTGTTCGCCCTCAACTGTACCCAAGTCTTCAGGGTGTTCCAGGATGAAAAATCCATCTGCCGATGCAGCACAGCTACAAGCTTCCAGACACTTTTCAACGAAAAAATTTGCTTCAGAAACTTTCTGTTTGTGAACATTCGAAAGCCAAGGAAAACCCTTGGGCCAGGCCTTTGTACGCAAAGGTTTTGGTCCTGGATGCTGTCTGTGTTGGAATCTGGCCCGTGAAAAGGTGTTGCACGGCGGGGAAACGATGATACACCATCCACCCTGTTGCAGGGTATCCAGAATTTCATCCCATAATGAAACATCGGTGAGATCATGATTCGGAGAACGCTCAATGTCAAACTCTTTGATCAACACCCTGATGCGACCTTCGGCCTCCGCTTGTCTAAGAAAAGCAGCAACATCAGAGTGGCGTTTCCGCCCAGCAAAAAGATACATAACCTTCACCAATGGAGGCTCCACCGGGGGTTGTAAAACATCTGAACTGGACGGTGCGATAGTGCTGGGTCCCACCGCACCTGAAGGCTGTCACGAGCCCTGCTTCTGCCTGTGTTCCACCGCTTTGTGATCTGCATAGCAACCTTTGACCCTGCACTGATGGATTCTGCCACATGATCCATCGCAATCACCAGTGTTCCAAGCAAAGCAAAGTTCCCGGCCGTCCGGTGTCCTCCAAGCTAAGTTCAATCCCTTCAGACGGGCATCGGCGGGACCAGAAGGCTTCGATTTCTGCTTTCCTTTCCCCTTCCCTTTCGGAAAACTCTGAAAGGACTTCCCACTAAAGCTCCCTTTCGAATTGAAACGTTGGAACTTGTTGGGAGGATTGTCTTGAGCCGCCGACTTCAGTGCGACAGGAGTAGTGAAGTAAGCCTCCTTAAGATCGGCATCCTTGATCACCATCAACAAAGCGTCTGACAGTGTGTGGCCCTCCAAGACCCGTTTCATTGCTTCCTTACGAAGTCGTTGCTCATATGATAAAACAATTGTCCAATCAGGCTTGATCTTCTGTTGGCCCCCATCTGCAGTCGGTATCTGTATCCCGTACACCCTATCCCCCAAAATGAACTCCACAAACTTCAAGAAGGGTGCTGCTGTAAGGCCATTGAGCCAGTGCTTAGCCTTGTACCTGGCAGCCATCGCCAACCATGCAAACATCTCGACCTTCATGACACGGCGATATTCCTCAGTGGTCGATGGCATTTTCGCCTTGGTTTTCGTACGCGTCACACGAATGTGCCCAGAACCATCAACAGAGGACTGAATAACAGAATTCGAAGAAGCAAGTTTGCTGAGAATCTCATCAAGTGGTGCAGCAGATGGCTCATTTGCCTCGGTCTCCTCCGCCTTCAGGCTCAGGTAGTCCGCTGATGGACACTCTGCATCGCTCAGTGTACCGTGTACAGACTCCACGGCCTTCAACATCGCCTGTCTCTCATGTATCTGAAGATTTCTAGGCTGACCAAGTACTTTCGCCTCTGCCTTTAACTCAACCTCCTTTGCCAAGTATTCTTTAGAAGTCTCCCAAGCAGAAACAATGGCAGCAATCTGAGATCTGTTCTCTGGGGAATCGGCCGCCAACGCGAAGTCTTGTGTGCATGCAGTCCTTATTGATGCCCGGTCATCACCCAGAGCTGTGAATTTCCTGAGTGAACCATAGTGCCTTGCAATCGAAACCTGATGCAATTGTGCCACTCCAGAGTCACCCAAAATGAACTGTAAATCGGAGTCCATGTTGGCATGAATAAATTCTCTCTGCTCCTGGGGATCCATTGCAGCAAAGGTCAAACCCTAAGCGCAAGAATCGTGCAGTTGAAGTGGCAAAACATGAAACCTGACAAGGTGAAAATCCAGTTGAAATCAAATCAAACATCAAAGCACCAGACAAAAAATTTCAATCCAAAGAAAACGGAATCACAAACCCTTCAAGAAACGGACAACAAACTGAACTGACTGAGATTGCAAAATGTGTCTGATCCTGAACTGATGGCACCCTTAGGTCTGAGCCATCGAGCAACACATGAACTCTCAGTGAAGCTCCAGAAATCCGTCTCAACGGAATGGGAGAAAAAATTTGCACTCGCAAAAAATTTCACAATTGACAACAAGATGCAAGCTTGAATCTGAAAACAAGCGATAACTGGAGACGTGGCCAAAACGCACGCTCGATCATTTTTTTTTCAACCAAAGAAGGCGTCCACGGAAGATCCTAACCCTGTGGTTCATCGCCACCAGAAACAGCCGACTCCGTCGAAGAAGACGACGCCGTCGAGGACGACAAGTCCCCTCCGTCCTTGCCGCTTTCAGTCAGCATCTTTCTGCGACATGCCTGGCAGATGGCATCGAAGTCATCTTGGCCAACCACATCCAACCGGATGACCTCAAAGCAACGGTCTGGGCGCACAAAGCATCCAGAGAGGTGCAACCTCCTCAGCCCAGCACGTCTTGAGACCGTGATGAAGTACTTTGTCTCCGAAGCCTTCGCCAGCGACTCCTTGAGAGTCTGCGAAGCAATCTGGTCTGCCACTGCCTCCTCAGTCTCACCGTGGGTGTCCGGGTCCCAGTCTCCAGGCAAGACCTCCAGTGTCGGATAGACACCACCCAGTGAGACCTTCTCCAGGTAAGGCACTAGAACCGTGTGCCTCTTTCTGATCCTGTTCTTGTTTGCACCTGCCTCGGCTGCGTAATCAGCCAACCTGTCAATGTTCTCATCTTCGTGGAACGGCTCGTTGCTGCCCTCCACAAGTGCCTTGTTGACCTCCCGCTGGATCTTGAACACCACCTGGCGGGACGTCCTCACATATTCCTCTGAAGACACCATCCCCATGGTCCAACGCCCAAGATAGGCACGCTCATCTCTGTGGAAGCCCAGCGCTGCTGCAACGGAAGTCAAATAGTTCCTCGGGCTGTGGCCTGAGTAAAAGGTCTCCAACCCGTCAGGCAAGAGAAGGCTGGCATGCATGAGCTCCCAACCATGTGTTGTGCGCCTCGGGGAACACAAAGATCCGAGCAGCTTCCCAATGGCTGTGCTCAGCCCAGACGGTGGCAAGAACTTTCTCTTGACTCCTGTCCACTCCTTGTTGGGCTCCATGACAAGATAGTCCCTCCGGAAATTGAAGGGATCCCCCATCCAGAGATCGTGACCAGATCTCAACCAGTCTTCACCGGTGAGGGAGACAGTCCTGTAGATGTGGACCGAGACCTCCTTCTGAACCTTGTCCGGGCCCGTTGTCTTCGACTTCCCAAGCACCATCCTCAATCCATAGTTTGACAGGACCGTTCGGCTGGGGAGCACTGCCTGGACATCGTCGCATCTCATTGCACCCCAAACCATGCAAAGCACCACCCACGCCAATGCCCTGACAAACAAAGGCTCCGTCTCACAAGTCACCGTGAGCTCCAAAGAAACCAGGATTGCTGTTGTATACATTTCTGCTGGTTTGCGTGGTGGTGCATCTTCACCAAGCTCTGCACTCCAAGCCTTGACATGGCCCAGCCAGAGGGGGTCCTCGGAGATCCTTGCATCCTCCGGCACCCGGCCCACCTGCTCGATCAACGCCAGAGCAGTGTGCAATGCTTGTGGAACAGTTCTCCCACACCCATCATCCACGCGGTGCTGCATGTAGTCAATTGCATCCTTGACTCCACGGGGGAAAAGATACCCTCGATGCCACTCCAACCAAAGTTCAAATGGGCGCCACACCTTGTATCTATTCTTCAAAGTATTCCCCCTCCGAGCAGCAAAAATGTGCAGCCATCCAGTCTGGGGATCATCCAAAGTTCTGACCAAACCTGCAACTGGGAGGTCAGCTTGAATTATGACTTGTGAAAGAAGTCGAGCATACTTCTTCCGCTCCGCATCAAAACGTTTTGCCCTGGCATCTGCTGGATCTTCACGATACTTCTTCTGCCTGCGCTTGATGTGCATCTCCAAAATGCAAATGGCACTGGTCTGTGTCAGTCGGTTGTACTCTGCTTGAACCGTTGCCTGGCCAGGAACTGGGAGTCGGAACATGACCTGTCGTGCAAGTTCCTTCCGGGTACGCTTGAAAGGGCGCTCCATAGCTTCTTTCCAAATACACAACTGTGCAACTGCATTGACTAAATCCTCACCCACCATGTCCGGAAACTCTGCTGCCACAAGTTGCAAGCACTCCTCATCTGTATCGAAGGCAGCGTCCAAACGCAATGGGGTCAGGTAGACCCTCTGCAGATGAGCCCTGAGGCCGTCAGCAACCAGTGGCCATTGGTCCCCCATGGCAACCCAGCTAGAAACTACGTCCAACCATATGTTGGAATGGCGCAGCGCCCCAACTACTTTTCAAATCATCCTCTTCCAAGCCAGTGCTCAAATGAATATTCCATGAGGAAAGTTCCAACTGAAAGTGCACAACGTTGAAATAGAAAACATGTAAAGCTGAATGTGACAAACGACGATCTGAAAGCAGTGTCGAACATGGAAGCAACTGAAGTGAATCATCTTGAAATGCCATACATCTGAAATTGCACAAGACAGCGAAAATTGACATCACTGAAATTGAAAGCAGCGAAATTTCTGAAATCATCTGAACAAATGGAAGCAAGCCAACTGAAACGTCCTGTTCTGCAAATGCATCACTGAAAATAAAACGACAGCAAGAATCAACTTCGAGTGATCTCTCCACAAAGGCAAAGAGCCCCAAACAGAAGGTCAGGAGGACCAGGGCAAAGAAGCAACGCCCAAAAGGGGCCAGGGCCACCAACAACCCCACCAACCACCCGACCAACACAGGGTTCCGTATAGACACATTGGGCAAGCCCAATGATGCATGTGCGTGAAACAAAGATTTGGATATGCTATCCAATCAAAGCGCACGTCGAGCAAAAAGATAGGGGGGGCGGGGGGCACAAAAAACGAATCACGTAAGAAACGTTGAACCCTCCCACCCTCCCTTTGGAGGTATTGAACTTGAAATGGCCACCATTGGCATTTAGTTCAATTTACACCTGTGTGCAAAAGATTCAGCAGATGTTTACAGAAAACAACAAGCTGAAACAACTTAAAAACCGAGTTGGGGAAAACAGCTCACTGAAGAGTACAACGTAAAATATACAAGTTGATTGCCGAGAACGTTTGCATTCAAACGCACAGCGAATAATCTCTTCAAGTGAACACCCAACTCAGAAGTTTCCTCAAGATGGAAGTTTCCATCGCGACGCACGCGAGAGGAAAGAGGAAACGCAGGGCGCACACGCAAGAGAGGAAGGAGAAGGGCCAACTAGAAGCTGCATTCAGCTTCTTTTTCCTTACGCGAGGAATAAGGTTACATCAGCACGCTGAGTCGCAACTTATTATAAACAGACCTTGTCCCTCACAGACAAACGGCATAGCACGGGTCGCATATATATATATATATAAACACAAACATAACATCACCCATATACACGTCGCATCCTACGCATATACGGGGGAGAACAACATACACCATCTCAAACTTAAACATGGGGAAACATCTGAAACTTAAAATAATGCAGCACGACATGAAATGGTGCACATGACGAAACGCTTCGGCCCTTCTCTTTCTCACAGTGGCGGACAAGGGTGAAATCAAATCGGCATATGGTTCGCATTCCATTCATTGTTTCTGATCCCTCGGCATTGAGGGGAAAACATTTGCATACATCACATGGTTTGGACTGCATGTCCATTCTGAGTTATATCACCCAAGGGCGGGTACAACGTACATTTGGGCGGGATGAAGTTTCCACCAACTATCTGTCGGTGGCCCACCCTACCCTACCCTGCATCTTGAAATGATAAATTCACAGACAACATAAATCATACACCATGAAACTGCATAAGAAATTCACAAGTGTGTATACATATGTTTCGCAACATATATATATATATACACACGCACAGCATCCACAGATACATACGTGCATGGAAACATGAATGTGTGAGACATCGAAGTTTCCAACCTGACATTGAAACGTCAAACACTGGTTTTGTGTTTCAGTTTTTTTTTTCGGGCCGCCTTTTAACAAAGGCTTCAAGGTCTTGTTTATAAACAGCTATTAGACAAGTCTAACTGCAACCTTATAAACAGACCTTGTCCCTCACAGACAAACGGCATAGCACGGGTCGCATATATATATATATATATAAACACAAACATAACATCACCCATATACACGTCGCATCCTACGCATATACGGGGGAGAACAACATACACCATCTCAAACTTAAACATGGGGAAACATCTGAAACTTAAAATAATGCAGCACGACATGAAATGGTGCACATGACGAAACGCTTCGCCCCTTCTCTTTTTCACAGTGGCGGACAAGGGTGAAATCAAATCGGCATATGGTTCGCATTCCATTCATTGTTTCTGATCCCTCGGCATTGAGGGGAAAACATTTGCATACATCACATGGTTTGGACTGCATGTCCATTCTGAGTTATATCACCCCGGTCTGCTTTAGCATATCGTGGACTCGAGAAGGAGTTTCGTCATAGGGCAAAGAGGCTCGACGCATTTGAAAGGTTTCAAGAACTCAAGCTCTTTTGTCGACCCTCTGCTCGGGTGGTCTGCCACATTTGATGCTGAAGGCACACGAGCGACCCACAACATGAAATTATCTTCCAGCGGATCTTCAAGAAGCAAGAGCAGGTCTCTCCACTCACGTTGAAGAGACGTGCCTTTCACAAGAACATCAAGTGCCGGCCAATTGTCAACAAAGAGAATGACGCGTCTCGACGCCACGTCAGGTTTCCAATGTAGGAGCGAGACAACGCAAGCATACAATTCGACCAAGCCAATCACATGAATCTTTCCGCCTTCCTGCCAGCTCTTCAAAACACGGTCGGGGACCGCTGCACCAAAGACCTCACACTCTCCATCAGGTCTCAAGCAAACACCACCGATAGTGGCCTTGGGCACGTCACCATCGTACTCCAAGGCACCATCCGTAAAGATCAGAACTGGCCGCTGCATGTCATCAGCAACAAAGGGTTTCGGCCGGCCAGAGCACAGCCGATCTTTGAGCACCCGGAATGCCTTCAGCTGAGAATCTTCAAGCGGAACTCTGGCTGGGGACGTGTGGCCCAACTCCCGCAAGTCTGCGAGAGCCAAGCGTCCCGCTCTTCCCCAAACATGCGAGTCTGCGTATTGAAGCTTCCCCAACACTGATGGCATCGATGTCGGGATGACAAACTTATCACTGAGGATTTTGACCAAGGCGTCATCAAGCTCTTCAACCCTTGAAGGTTTATTTGAAATCGCCACACAGCCTTCTGCACTACGGCTCAAGTCAAACACAACTCCAAGAATTTCTGAACTGCGTGCAAATGGTTGGAGCTTCTCCTCGGAGTACACAAAGCCAAAGAGGGACATCAGCCCCTTTGCACACGCAAGAGTAGAACCAACATGCAAGCCATGAGACAGCATCGGAAAATCATCAAAATAGCTCATCCATATGATGCCAAGATAACATCCAGCTGCTTGCAAGAAGGCGCTAATGCGCAGGAAATTGTGCACACTCGCGGAAGCTCCAAAGGGGAGGACGTGGCACTCGAAGCACCGCACATCCCGCTCCTCAGCACTCCACAAAGAAACAACGGACTTATCAAAGTCCAGAGGGCTCAAGGGAAGCTGCTTGTAGGCGGACTTCAAGTCCATAGCAGTAATCCTCAGGTCCGTCACATTCACAGTCCATTCAGGGTGGACGCAACCTTCAAGCACAGTTCCATCAGACAAAGTGAAAGAAAATGGTCCACCACACTTGTACAAGCGCATCAGGAAAATAGAAGCCCAAACCAAGTGGTCCAAGGCGTAAAGAGTAGCCCTCTCCGTACTGGAAAAAGCATCATTAACCCTGTTCTCACGCAGGTCGTCTATGGGGCGCAGTTTGCCCTTCTGCACCACAGGAAATCTCCTGACCGGCAGCCAACGCCCATCAAAGCGCCGATCCACCTCAGTTGGAGTAAATGGGCCTTTCAGCCAGGCTTTGTCGCTAGCTTCGGCCAAGGTGACATCATACAACTCCTTGGCATGTTCGCCACCTCCGCCAGCCCTAATTTTTCCAAGCAGAGCAGGTTTGAGAAACTTCGCATCACGCATGAGCTGCTCCTCGCTTATAGTTGCGGCCTTGAGGCCTTGCTGGAAAACATTTGACTTCGTCGCATTGCCCACCAACCTGAACCCAAGTGCAAGCTCTTTGAAGAGCTCCGTATCAGGCCAACCTATATCTTCCGCAACTTTCTGCATCAGGAGCAAACGCTTCGAACCCAAGACTGCTCTTACCCTAGAATCCAAAGTGGATTTGTATGTGGCTTCATCTTTGGATAACTCTCTGGCCCAAGTGGTCCACCGCTTCAACCTGTGAATCCGCATCTTGACAATGTCCATAGGGGATCGGGTCAAGTGTTCAAAGAGGCACCTAAGCAAGTGATCCGGCATGTGCGCAGCTTCATCAAAAGGATGCCACAAGGATTTTGCCACCTGCACAAACTTCTCGCAAGAATGGAAAATGCCAAAAATACACAAGAACATCTTCCCCTTTTTCTCGGAACGCAAGAGCTTGCTCCCCACTGGAACATGTTTGCATGGACTCTGTAAGCAGTGTTTCTTGTCAAGGGCCGGCATTTCATGTAAAAGCAGGCTTACAACCTGCTCATATTCCGGCACAAGCTGGGGCGTTGCACGACCCTTTGGCTGCTTATGCGCTCGGGGTTGTTGGAGGCTCGAAGGCATCAACTTGACACCCTTTTCAACACACAACTCATCCACAAACTTAACCAACTGCTCACACATGGCGTCTGGATACTGGGCCTCCAAAGCTGTAGCAAAACCACCGTCTGCAGAAACTCCCCATGGCGCATGTTCATGAGGTTCGACATCTTCACAAAAACGTTGCATCATGAGGATGTTCTTCCTATTGCTCAAGAAAGAAGTCTTTTTCGGCCTCTCGCTGCCAAACGCGCAAGCATGGCAATGAGCAAAGTGTCCATGTGCGACAGCATATGCAAAGTAACCCAATTGCCAAAGAAAGCTATTTGTAGGATTCTCCACAACCCATGCAATACCTCTGGCGTCAAGCCACTCGATAAATCTGCCCATTCTTTTGTACAACCTGTTGGCCGCATCCACTTTCACCCGGTCGGAGGGGGACATGTCAGGCACCCCTAGCAGATAATCATCAGAACGTAATGGCTGAGGTCCAGGTGTTCCGTCCGGCATGGGTATACCCCTCGCTTTACTGCAAGTTCCACAAGGAGGCGCCAGATGCACTGCTGCAACGTCACATGTGCTGACAATGTATTCCAACACTTCCCATGCATGATCCTCAGCCAAGTCCAATGAAACAATGCGGCATCGCGGCTTGTGCCTGTTCCGCTTGCAGTCAACTGGAAGAACCCTATAGCCATGTCTCTGCGCAACAGCGCTCAAAACAGCACTGCCAGCGCACAACTCAATGAAAACCATCTGCCTGCCACAAGTATCACCGTCAAGTCCACAAAAATCACGGAGCCCATGTAAATCCCTTGAGGGAGGACATGAAAAAGCATTATCCACATTGGACTGGGCTACAGGCATTTCAGTAGCCACAAATTCGGCTGACTCCACGGCCTTCTTAGAAGGATTTCTCCCGGCGTCAAGTCTTGCATTGACTGGACTCCGAGAGCGGTCATCAGCGCTCATGCATCCAGCGCCACGCGCAGGAGATAGTCACTCCCGCGCCGCACTCCCCTTGTTGGGGCAATCAACTGCCATGTGCATCTTCTGACAGCCCTTCACAGCACATAAATGCAATCCCTTTCCACAACGCTGATCTTTCACAGGAAGCTTGCATCTCTTCAAATTGTAATCGAAACATAGCCTATGGCCTTTGGTGGTCGTGGCAACACAACCCAAGCTCAAAAGATCGCTTGGGACCCTCATGAAATTCCCTTTCGTAGCACCCTTTGCACTCTGAAAATCGGTCCTCGGCTTCTTGGGCCTGGGCTCATCAGCCGGCTTGGTCTTGGATGGGCCAGCAACTGCTGCAGGTGGTGCAAAACGGTGCTGAAGCAAGTTCAAAAGCTCAGGACTATCCAAACATGCATCAAAGTTCAAATCACATGGGCGTCCAGCAGGAGACGACTTGATTCCATCACGAGTCTTTTCTGCCATGAGAGTCCAAAACTTCTTATCAGCTGTCTCGATCTGTTTCAAACTGAGCTTCACACAACCTGCAGGTGGTTCTTCCATGCGGGCATTCATCAACTTCTCTGCCAAACGATCATGAAGCTTGAAACACATGATATTCGCCTGGTCCAGTGCCAAACCCCTACGAATCAAACAGTAGCGCACCTGCATCTCATTGGCGGTACTGCAAGGCTCCACCTGGTCTCGCTTGGTCAGCTTCAAAGTGCCTGAAGAGTCGAAACTGAGGTTGGCATCCTTCTTTGTTCCTGTAACAATCTCGTGGTCACGAGACACACAAACATCCCATGTTATGTAAATGACACGGTCGGACTCATAAGCTGCCACTGCACGATCGACAAGCGAGTCCCCAGGCTCATAGTTCCCTCTCAGGTCAAGACCGGCCAGCCTAACCTGTTGATCTTTTAAACGCTGAGATCTCTCTGCAGGTGCAAGCTTCTTCACTGAAGCCTCATCACAAGCCTCGACCTTTGTCCTAATGTCAGCTGCAATGGTGGAGTATGCCTCGCTAAACAACCTCCTGATACATGCCATCTCTTTCGTGGAGGGTGCACTTCCCAACACATTGGTAGCTAAAGTAACCAAAGGCCTCTCATCTGCTGCCCCTGGAGCATAGTTACACGCAAATGCAAAAGTTCCCAACGTGTTCAAGCCTTCTGCATTGAAGGCCTCATAATTTGCATCAGTGAGTCCAATCTCCAGAAACCTTTTCTTAAACACTGCTTTGCTGTCACTGTACGACATGACGTCGAAAGAAAGGCTGGAGCCAAAACTACATGACAAAAATTTCATCCATGATCGCCCTGCATTGGGTGATCACATCAAGCATGTTGCATCTGACCCATATGACATCACTGCATCGTGATGATAACATGCATATATGCACCTCATGTAAATCACTGCATCGTGACGGTGCAATTTGACTCACAAGTTGCATTCAACGCATTGAAAGAACTCGAAAGGCACAAAACATAGAGATTCATTTGGTTATTGTCAACCATGAAGACGATAGGTCCCCAAAAAGAGTGGTTGGGGACCTATCGTTTTAATCCCTTAAACCCAAATTGAACTTGACCCCAAGTGCAAAACCATGATCAACCAATTCCAAAGTTCTTCCAACATGCACAACCCAATGACGGCTTTTCGCATGTTTCTCACGCATGAGAGTCCTTGAAGCAGGTGCCGCAAAGTGGGTGGAAGAACTTTGGCCGATCAGGCTGGACCTCATACCTGGCTGACATGGCCCTGCCGCATGACAAGTGAGTGCCAGCTTCGTCCATCAACTTGTGTATGCACCTGGAAGTGAGGTGCCTCACAAAAACCACCTCGTCATTGGCCTCGTGCTCAGGAGGCTGCCACTTGCCTGCCACATCTTCGACTGCCTTCTCCTCCTCGAAGAGATCTTTGTCATCTTCATCCTCTGATCCACAACTCGATGAAGCCGAGCTGGAACAACCATCATCGACAGCCCCAGCTGGAGCAAACATCCCTGAACGTGTTGTGTCAGGGTTGAAGCTGCCGGCAACAACCTTCTCGATGATCGCCACAAGTGCCCTCAAAGGTTGGGCCATCGCGTCCCTCGAATAGACAAGAAGAGACTTGTCTGAAGAGGCAGTATGATATCCCAAAAGCCGACGGGAATCGTGATCGACACCCACCTTCGAGCACCAAGACAGCAACGTGGCCTTGCAGCTGTGAGTAGCCAGTCGAATGTCACCCACAGTCTCGGTGTGGCGCAACAAATTCCTCAACCACTCTCCAGCAGGAGTCACGCCCAAAGCGGACTGAGACCAACCGCCACCAGCAGCCGGGGCAGGCATCACAGGGTAAGTATGGCTGGTATACCCTGAAGCGGTCAAACCTTGATCCAAACGAAGTTGATTCCAAACAGGCAACCATGGTGGTGATGTCAAGGACTGCACAGGCACCGCAATCGGTAAAAACCTGACTTTGCGTTCCAAGGACACACTGGTCTTGGTTCTCTCAGCAGCGCACTCCAAAAACCCGACGAGCTCATCGTCCACATGCACCATCTCGAGCCTCATGCCTGTGATCCTTTGGCCATCAGAAAACCTCAGGCGACCGTACACAAGCAACAAGAAGTACCCAGCCATGACCCTGTCGTACACACTCTTACCAGTGTTGTTGACAACATGCTCCAGGACTTTGACTTGAGCCACAGTCAGAGGTGGCCTTTGCCTGACCTTTGCCCTCTGCTCATAATGTGACTTGACTGCACCGTCAATGCGCTTGGAGTCACAAACTGCCATACCACCAATAAGTCCCAAAATGTGGGTCGCAAAACTGACAGACAGGAGAAACGATCTGGGAAAACTTGGTGCAGCATCCTGCATGGCCTTGATGAAGTCATAGACCCTGTACTCTTCCAGAGGCAAACTTCGCACCCCCCTATCAGAGTAAAACTTGATGTACCGAAGCAGAGGTCCAGCCCTCGCATGTAAAGTGCTAGATGACTTGTTTCCCAATGCATCATGTATCGATTCGGCAAGTCCTCCCTTTGCAAACTCCATGGGCCCTGACAGCATCTGAAGTCGAGCCACCTCAAATGCCATGACATTTTCAGAAACAATTGCAATCCACTTCCTGTAAGCACATTTCCGATCGTAGTTGATTTGTTCACTCCATGATCGACGCTGTGCATTGTGCAAAGCTTTCACACTGAAATTACGGTCAGACCCCATTGCAAGTTGCGATTCAAGAGGCTCAGGCTGAGACTGCTCCAAACGAGGCACAGGAGGCATGACTCCAACAGTTTTCAAAAGACCTTTCCTTGCCTTTTCAACCAAATCGAACTGATCGTTCATCCTGAAATCGCAAGGCATCTTCAAATTGCTGACATTGTTGCACAACCATGAATGTCTGGCATGCATGCAGAAATGAGACATGTCTGGATCAAGCATTTCGTCCTCAACAGCATCACCCCTCTTACGCTTCAGGTCCATCGGACTCTGAGTCAGAATCCCACCAAGGCGTTGCAGACGAATGGGCAACGCTGTATGCCTGAAGAGGTGGTGTGGCCACGGTCCAAGCCTTCGAGATGCACTGTTCTCTGATGGATGTAGCACCCAATGCAACCTCTGACCGATCGACGTAGATGACAATGCAAGATCTCAAGACACGAATCTGGCTGTGAGTGTCCAAAAATGCGACCACTGTAGTTGAAACTGCAAATTGAACCCACACTTCCCTCACAAATGGACAACTGTGCTGGCAACGCAAAATGAAGCGATTCAAATCGACCAGTAAATCAAGCATAAATCACTGAGAAAGAACCCACACGACAAATGCGACAGCTGATGCAAAAAGCCCCAATGCAAAACCACAGAAGCTCCCAGCTGTGCAAGTGCACCACCGCAATGGCTCGCGCCCGAGGCACAACGGGCTATGAAAAGCTACCTTGCCCTTTGCAAGTGCAGATTCTTTCCTCTGCATGAAGTTTCCACCAACTATCTGTCGGTGGCCCACCCTACCCTACCCTGCATCTTGAAATGATAAATTCACAGACAACATAAATCATACACCATGAAACTGCATAAGAAATTCACAAGTGTGTATACATATGTTTCGCAACATATATATATACACACGCACAGCATCCACAGATACATACGTGCATGGAAACATGAATGTGTGAGACATCGAAGTTTCCAACCTGACATTGAAACGTCAAACACTGGTTTTGTGTTTCAGTTTTTTTTTTTCGGGCCGCCTTTTAACAAAGGCTTCAAGGTCTTGTTTATAAACAGCTATTAGACAAGTCTAACTGCAACCTTCCAAGCAAACAGAAAACCGTTGACCCAAACATACCGTTCCTCCTAAACGTGTTCTTGCGTCGCCAACATAACAAGGGGGCCCTAAACGTTTGCGTTCAAACGTAGAACTTGCGCCATAACAAAAACAGGGGCCCTACAAATTTGCGCCAAACGTAAATAAATACAAGCAACCTCCGAAAACGAAATACGACAATCAACAGAAACAAACCGCACATGTGCAACTGAAAAAAAGTAACATGGCACTCACTCTTTTTCTAGCACAGTGGAGATATCACTAAGGCCTCGTTAAGCCACGGTCCCCACCCATGCTTGTGTGGCTTTCCACATACTTCAAGCTTTCATTGAAGACGAGTGCAACTTCCCCTTCGGGAATGCGGTTTGAATCTGGTAGCATTTGGTGTCGGATCTTTCTGGAAGGATAATCTGATAAATTTGATGCCGAAGGAACACGGCTGTACCAAGGGAGGACGTAAAAATCGTCCAACTGCTGCGCCACCAACTGGCAAATCAGAGAAATTGCAAATGAGTCGGAGTAGCCTCGAATCAAGGCAAACTTTGCACCCTCATTATCTATGTAAATCATAACCTGGGAGGATGTGACAAGTTTCGCCCATAGTTTCAGAGCAATAGCAACAGTAAGCGTTTCAAACTCACCAATAAGGTTCTTGCGTCCCTGCTCAAACCAAGCTGTAAAACGTTCAGCTCCCACATGAAGTCCAAACCAAGAAATGATGTTGCCATCTTGCGTTGCAAGGAAGGCACCGAAGCCTCCACCCTCCTTCATGCTGAAGCTGGCATCTGTGAAAATGAAGAATGTTTCCAACATCTTGCATGTGAGGACTCTAGGCGATCCAGAAAGCAGCCTACGCCTCAGAAGCTCGAGGGAATCTACCAGCCTCTCAGAAAGACTGGCCACAAACGGATTGGCATATGCATGCTTGGTAATATCCTGAAGGGCCAACTTACCGATTCGACCAAAAATAAAAGAATCGCAAAATGCCAGTTTGCCACGCAAGGTCAGTGCTTCTTTCTTTGCTAACTTTCCCTCACGCAAAATTGTTTCCAGCAGCAAAGTAGTGTCTTCAATACGCTTGGCTGTATTGCGAACTTTGAGAGTCCCTTTGGGCGAGTCCTCCAAGTCAAACTGTACCCCAAGGGCTGATACAATTCCCGAGAATGCATCACTCTTTGGGCCTTCACGATCAAACTGCCACCCAAGAATGTCAAGCATCAAGCACAAAGTAGCCTGGCTGTTGTTGCACATGTTGGGCATGGAAAAGGCAACAAAGTCGTCGAAGTAGCAAGTCAAAGGCAGGATAAAAACCCTGGCAGCAATCCACTGTAGGAACCTGGCACACCTTATAAAAGCATTTACAGCAGATCTTGACCCGAAGGGTAATGCAACTTGTTGAAATAGCTTTGCAGACCCACTGGACGGGTCATATACAGAAAGGTAGGAGTGCTGCAAGGACTCGTCGGCAATGGCAAGCTGCCGGTATGCCGATGCAAGGTCCAGTGATCTACCTCTCAGACAAGTATCCAAGCCTTGCTCTTCCAAGCATCGCATCAAGTAAGTGGCATAACTGCAAATAACATCAGGTCCATCAACCGTCGCCTGCTCAAATGTGTTCACCGTGGAGTTGACCTGGCTTTGACTTAGGTCGTCAATAGGCCTCACTTTCCCCGATTGGGACAGGGGGAACCTACGAGAAACCGCTGCCCCCGCGGGCAATTCGTCCCATGGTAAAGGACCCCGCATCCATCCTTTGTCAACCTCCGCAAGGGTTTTTGTCCACAAACCTTTATCCAGCTCATCATCACCGCTGCTCCGTGTCATATACCTCAGAGCTTTGCTGGCTTTGTCTGAATGCCTATGCAAATCTTCTTTTGAGATAGTAGCGGGAACCAATTTGGGAGGAAGCACTGAGGACATTGGGCTATCGCCAACCAAGCTGAAGCCACGCTCGATGTCGTCTGCAAGGGTGTGGTCATCATATCCCTCCTGCTTAATCAGGTGTTTCATCAGGGCTATGCGTTTCTTTTCCAAAATGTGCCTTCTGGCTAAAGGCATCTTGTCCTTGATCTCCGCCTCCTCGGCTTGAAGGGATTTCGCTAGACGCAACCATTCACCAAGCTTTTTACACCTCCAGTTGACAATGTCCTCATGCCTCCAGCTTGCTAGTTTTTCGCAAGCCATTTTTACCTCTGGCAGCAGGCCCGAGAACTCTCTAAAGGGGTGCCCCGCGATCACAGCTCTCTTCAAGAAATTCTCGGGAGACCAACGCACACCAAAAACCCAGTCAACGCAGTCATCTGTTGTTTGTTTCTGCTCCAAAGTGAATTGAACATTGTTACATGGACCTTCAACGCAGTTGCACGTCAGAGGAACTTCCTCACCAGCAAAGCCAACAGAGTTTAAATCACCCAAATTATGGAGTGAGGGGGTGCAATCCACGGAATAATTAAAAAGACGGTTCTCTCCCCCCTTTCTATCTGTCTTTCGAAGCAACTTGCTCCCACAAGGCACTAAAAATTGTGTGCCATCTAATTGCACCACAGCGCATCGTTGTAGACAACCATCCAATAAATTAAAAGCAAAATTGTTTGGCAAACTGTTCACCACCAAAATGTGGGAAAATTCAGGGACGGCTGGCAGGGATGTCAGCTTGGACGGTTGTTTGCCTGCGGCAATGGAATGAAAATGTGACAACTTGAGCCGCTTTGACACCTGAGAAACATTTGGCAAATTAAACTGACCTGCAATGGATTCCAAAATAGTGGTTGCAAGGGCTTTGGCAAGTTGAGGTGTATACTCCGCCTCTCTGGCAGTATCGAAAATACCATCATGTATGCTCCAGGGTGCATGCTCATGGTCACCCGTGCACAAAATATTCAGAGCCATGATCGCCTTGTTATTGGAGGCCAAGCAGGTGCGCTTTAAACGTAAGCCGCCAAACATACAATTGTGAAGTTCACAATAAAACGGCTTCAACTTAGTGTCAACCTCAACCCAATAACTTGTTGCC